CATGAAAATATAGATTTTGATACTTGTTTTTGCAGCAGTTTGTAATAGTGTGTTAACAACTATCAAACCACTTCACATATTAAATTATTTCTCAATTAACCAAAACAAATACACTTGAAATTGATGTGTAGAAAAGCTCGCTTCACAACTTCTTAAAATATGAGAACTGTTCAAGCCTATTCTAATATGACACTCTAATAGCAATTTTGATAGACAAAAATATATTTATTTGTTGATGTTTAAGCATACAATTTCTATCTGGAAAATGATGTGTACTTATCATGTTTTGGTATAAGAAAGGAATGCTGCTTGTTGATTGTTTGTCTTATGGTGACACAATAAGTTCCAGAACATATTTTAACAATTTAAAAAATGTGTGCCATGTTATTATCAAGTTGCGATTTTTTTCTCTTAGTCTCTTTGAGTGTTGTACTAAATTCATCTACCATTTCCTTTAAAGTATCTTGTTTCTTTATTCTGTTTTTGTAATTGTGGCTTGAACATCTTGTAGCTTTCCTACATGGTAATTAATCTATTGATTTTGGCTTAAACCAAGTTTTGACAAGGTTGTACTTGCCATTTTCAGGTCAGGTAGTAACACTTAGTGATGATGCTTGAAGTAAACTATTATAAACAACTGCTGCAGAAACAAATCTACCAAAATAAATTTAGAATTGTAAGGTGTCTACCTACCAGTGTCTATAACTTTTCTCTCCATCAACCACCTATTAAATGAATCCTTAGGAGCATCAATACCCTCCCTAGAATGGCACACTTCTTGGTAGCTTTGCCTCAACTTAGATAATAAACTACACCTATATGCTTCGATTTCTGGATGTGAGTGCATATAAAAACAAGGTGAGCGCTCTGCGAATGAAGAAATTAAGATTTTAGTCACATACATAAAATTATGATTTTTTAAAATTATTAGGACTATATGAACCCAGTATGTTTAATGTTAATAAGTGAGATTACCTAATATAATAACATTTGTAATAACATCCAGATCCCAGGGTCCAGCCAGAATCAACTTCTTTGCTTGAGGTCCAATTTCTTCTGAAGCCCTCCTTTTCACTATTGGTACTGCCACAGTTGGAGCCATATGGGTTAACGGTATAGGTCCTGGGGGAGGAGGAGGCGGAGCACAAATGCCTAGAGGGTCTGTAATGGGGTCAAAGTGTGGTTTTAGTACTGGCATTTCCCATAAGCTTTCCCCCGTTAGTTTGTTCCAATAGTAAGGACGGTTTTCTCTTTTGGACCAAAATTTTTTCCAACCTAACCAAAATGTCACATATTTATAACTTTATATTACAATAATTACATAAAAAATATTTTTAACAATATTTTGTTATACATGCAGATAAAGTTTTTTATAATTCAAACCACAGGCTCATTCTAACACAACCAGAGCACCTTACACATGGAACCTAGTTAGTTAAAAAAGTAAAAGTGTAAGTACTACAAGTTCTCTTTGTATTGTAAACCGTTAGCTGTAAAGATATGAATATGACTTTACTTAATACACACACTACAATGTACACAATCGATCGTATATAAGATCAATCATAGATTATGGATGTGTTTTGTATGGTTCAGCAGCTAAGTATATCTTGGGGAAAATAGATGTGTTTCAAAACACAATATTACGTATTTGCCTAGGTACTATGAAATCAACCCCTACCAATTCGTTATATGTTGAAGCACTAGAATTTCCACTCAAATATAGAAGAGAATATCTTAGTCAAAAATTTCTGATTAATACTCGTCATAGAAATCTCTCTCTTTACTGCAGTATTAGCAAACAAATGCAGATTTAACAAATAAATATTGGATCCACAAAAATTCTCCTCCACTTTGTGACACGTTTAGAAATCTCTCAAATTGCGATTACACCAACTCATACACATATGATAATTCAAACTTTGAAGAATTTTATGCTTTTTTGCAAACTATTACGGTAATTAAACCAAGGTACCATGTAAATACTGCAATCAGCTACAATATTTTAAGGAATTTATTAGAAAACTGGCCAGCATAAACAGTTATTTATACAGATGCATCAAAGTCTACTCTTGGCACTGGATGCGCTTTTTATATTCCTTTAAAAAGTATAGAAAACATGTTCACTCTAGATCATAATTTTTCAATTTTTACTGCTGAAGCCATAGCAATTTATGAAGCATTAAAGTATTTTAAGAATTCCAATGACAACTCCGCAATAATTGCATCTGGTTTGTTATCGGTTCTTATAGCCATTGAGACTATATCTTTTCCTAGCAAAAGTACAAATATTTACATCCTTCTAATCAAAAAAATTATTTTTGAATTACATCAGGAACAAAGAACAGTGAGATTTTTGTGGATTAAAGCTTACATAGGGCTTGAGCATAATGAGTATGTAGATATATTAGCTAAGAAAGCCATTGATTCTGGTGCGAAAACAGATTATAAGCTCTGCATACCAGATGTATTTGTAACAATCAAGAATATTGTAATCAATCAGTGGAAACAAGAATATTATGAATATAGTCAACACTCTAAATCACAATATGCACTCATACAACCCTCAATCCTGAGTGAATTTTGGTTTAAAAATTACTCTGTTCCATGTAGATACATTACATCTATTATTTGAATGAAATCAGGACACGCATGTTATCCGTCTCATCTGGCAAAACTTAAAATTGTAAATTCCAATTTATGCGAAGTTTGTCAAAAAGAAGCAGATTTAAATCACATTTTCTTTAAATGTACAAAATATATACAACAAACTGACGGCTTAATAAAAAATTTAATCAAACATAAAATCTTTCCACCCTATAACATTTGTTACCTTTTGTCATTAAATAACAAAATTGTATATAACTACTTAACAGAATTTATTTCGAAAAGTAACCTCAATTTGTAAGTCCAGTTAAAAAAAATAGTAACCTTTGTTTTATCCCATTTGTTTTAAACCTACTATCCTTGACCAGGTCTAGTTTGTGTTTTAATTTAATGTCTTGATGGGTCCCTAGACGAGAAGCGAGTGACCATGTTTGTTCTATTGATAACCAAATAACCAATAATAAATATATTGTGATAATTATTTTCTTTTCTTTCCTTTGGGAACTTAAAAAAGTTGTGACAACAGACAATAAAACAAAATTGGTAAGAATAGCACTTTGCCTTTCCAAGGGACAGTCATCCTACTATTTGACTTGCCTGGCCCAACTGAATTGAATATTAATTGTATAATAAAATTGTCAAACATATTTAAAATTATTGCATGACTCTGGTGGTATAAGTGAAAGCAGTACTCAAGAAGTTTATAGTAGTTCATCAAAATGCACTAGCAATCTATCAAAACTAATGGAAACCAAGAAGTTATGGAAGAATTGACACTGTACAGCAGACCATCAACTAAGCAAAAGAGAAACAATGACATTAGGCCCCAAAAAGGAAATGTTTTGGATCTAAAACTCTTTGATGACATAAACACGAACAGTTAACTCAAGGAATCAATCTCTTTGAACTAACAATTTTTTTATTTCATCTTCCAAAGGGTTTTTAACTTCTCCACTTCTTATATAGTGTGACTGTAACAAGTAAATATAATATAGAAAAATGAAAAGGAGAAAAACTACTAAAACTGTATGACAGAAGAAAAAACTCTTTGATGAAATAAACGCGAACAGTAAACTGAAGGAATCAATCTCTTTGAACTAACAATTTTTTTACTTCATCTTCCAGAGGCTTTTTAACTTCTCAACTTCTTATACACTGTGACTGTAAGAAGTAAATATAATATAGAAAAATGAAAAGCAGAAAAACTACTAAAACTGTATGACAGAAGTAACAGCCTAATTAATTTTTACTGTTCTATGGTTAAATGGCATATGCATGATGCAGCAGGTACAAGAGGTACAATTCTTATAGGTATTTACTGTCTTAAATTTATTGTAATTGATCTTAGCTACAACATAATTAAATATATCTTTTTGAAAAATATTTTGGTTTGACGAAATTAATAAAATTTTGGTTTTTAATGAATATTTTAGTTAATTATGGTAAAAGTATAAAATGTACCTTCTTAGATTACAATGAAAAACCCGAATATTTAGTTACTTATTTGAATAAAAATTACAAATTCATTGTTTTTACCTTGTTGTTGTAATTCAAATGGAAGTTCATATTCAAATCCTTGATTTACAGGAGCCCCTTGGGGCGTAGTTGGTATAGGCATACTAACGTGTGGTTGAGGCCCAGGACTGGCCCCACTGTCGATCGGGGGCCACATAGGCGCCAGTTTTTCATCTTTAACTTCCGCTTCTTCGTTCATTGTTTATATTTTTATTTTGTTGTTTAATGATTTTCAGATTCAACCAGAATCTCGGTTTTTGGGAACTTTGCTAGACAATTGTACACAGTAAAACATACCTTTGAAATTTTTTTCACTGAAAATTTTAATGTTTACAAGTTCACGACGAAATTCAGTCAAGGTTTGAAAAAAAACTTGTGCATCCTCACTCTACGACGCCATTTGCTGACTGAGAAAATCAAAAACGCCAAAACAATGAAAGCAACTGGCGTTGTCAGCGTTGAGAGTAAAATTTAAACTAAAGTTGACTTTTGTCATATTTCTTTTTTCTTCAACCACTAGGTAGCACCACTAAAATAAACGCTATATGTGCGAATTCTGATTTAAAGATTTTATTGAAATTTACAAAATATTTAAGTAAAATATAACAAATATATTTATTACTGTCGTTATATATTTTTTAAATAAATAATCTTTTTCTACAGATTTCTGTAAAATTTGTAATAGTTTGCCTTTTACTTTCTAATCATGCATCTACATTATAGTAAATTTCAAAAAATATTACAAATTTTACTACATACGTTATGTTAATATTTGTAATATCAACTAATTCTCTAAATTTATATAAATTGATTTTGATAAAAATAATCAGTAAAATGATTTAATATACATATCTCTGAGTTTGACAGTTCCAAAAAATAACATAACCTAAATTAAATCCATGCCATATGCAAGTGGACAATAATATTGAAATGTTTTGAAATATTTCTTATTAGTTGATATAATATATTAGTAGCACAATGGGAAAGAAAAAGAACGGTAATTATATAAAATTCTACAACTTGTCTGTATGGTTTTAATTATATGTTTTTAGAATTCTCTCATCTGGCTGTGGAAGAAAGAAAAGTAATTACTGTTGCAGAGGTGGTTCAAGAACTTATAAAAGCCCATCAAGAAAGAAAAGACGTGAATTTAAACTCTTTGAAAAATAAAATAGCATCAAAATACAATCTAGAAACTGCTCCTAGGTTGGTGGATATAATTGCAGCAGTACCAATTGATTATAAGAAAATTCTGGTTCCAAAACTACTAGCGAAGCCTATTAGAACTGCTAGTGGGGTAAATTAGTTTACAATTAAACAAAAGCAATAAATATAAACCCTTTTGGAGAGTAATCATTTAACACTGATGACACAGGGAGTGAGGATTACATAGTTTGTGTGACAATAATAGTCATTTAAAAGTTGTGCCTCTTTTAACTTGTATACACACACTTGCTGTTGAGTTAAAATATCTCTTTAGTACATACTAATTAATAACATTGATTTCTTTATTCTATTTTTAGATTGCTGTTGTAGCAGTAATGTGCAAACCCCACCGCTGTCCTCACATTAATTTAACAGGAAATATATGTGTTTATTGTCCAGGGGGACCAGATTCAGATTTTGAATACTCAACTCAAAGCTACACTGGCTATGAACCTACCTCAATGAGAGCTATTAGAGCAAGATATGATCCTTATCTTCAAACCAGACACAGAGTAGAACAACTGAAACAATTGGGACATTCAGTAGATAAAGTTGAATTCATAGTAATGGGTGGTACTTTTATGAGTTTGCCTGATGACTACAGGGATTATTTTATAAGGAATCTACATGATGCTCTGTCTGGTCACAAGAGTAGTTCTGTTGAAGAAGCTGTTATTTATTCAGAGAGGAGTAATACCAAATGCATAGGAATCACAATTGAAACTAGACCTGATTATTGTCTAGAAAAACATTTATCAGATATGCTAAAGTATGGATGTACCAGGCTTGAAATTGGTAAGTTTTATTTAATTAGTAAAAAGTTATATTCATGTAGAATAAATATCATCCCTACATGTGTTTTTGCAAGATAATTAAGTTGGCAAAGTTCACATTATTGGTAAGGTGATAATTATACTACTAGAAGTATGAATTCAGTTTTCAGGACCAAATTACAGCAACTGCTATGCAATTTTCCACACTGAAATCTATAGCTAGTAATATGTTTTTTTTGTAGGAGTCCAATCTGTATATGAAGATGTAGCTTTAGATACAAATAGAGGACATACAGTGAAAGCAGTATGTGGTACCTTTCATCTGGCTAAAGATGCAGGTTTTAAAGTAGTGGCTCATATGATGCCTGATTTGCCAAATGTTGATCTTGAAAGAGATATTGAACAATTTATTGTAAGTATATTAGAAAGTTACATGAATCAAGGGAGAAAGAGTGATAGGTGATAGGGAGACATATTTAAGTAGAGCCTCAATGTATTATTCTGTAGTGGTACAATACTTGAGTAGCATATATCTTTCTCCTTTCTGATTGAAAATATTTTTAGGTTTATTAAAATTGTGGATGTCCCCATATTTTTGTTATATTCCGTAAGGCTAGATCATATGTATGTTTTATCTCCTCTTGCAGTGTCTCTGTGTTTGTAGTCAATGATCCCAGACATAAGTACAAGTTTATAATATTAAATTGGTCAATATTGGTTACATGAGGATGTATGTTGTTTTGCCTATCCATTATTATGATTTTTGTCTTCAATGTGACCAAATTTATTTTAATTTTCAACCTGTTGTTTGTATAGCCACAGAATAAATAACATTCAGAATTCTCACTCTCAGATGCCACCTTTGAAGTTTGTCAGCATGTGATAGCTATATTTTAAATGGAAACATAAACTTGAATTGAGAAATTTGTGATAAGCTACAACAAAACTGTAATTTAAATTTTTAATGATTAATAATTTAGTACATTTGAAATAATTTAATCTATTCTTCAACTAAAAGTATGAATAAAATAGTGCATATTATGTCTATAGTTGCCGTAAATAAATTAAACCTGGTTAATTTTTCTATGCACACCAGTTAAAATGTCACTGAACAGCACTGGCTCTGTTTAAAACACAGCTGATTTCGTCTGCACGAACCAGATGCACATACTTATTTTTTTAAGCAGAGTGGACATTCTGATTGTTTATTATTCTGTAAGTTCTGTTCGTTAGACAAGTCTGCTGTCACTATTAAAATATCCTCGGTTTAAACTTTAAAGGATGCTTGTCTCTGTGAGCGGAGGCAAGGCTTACTGGTCCTACTAGTCTGAACTAGCTGGTTAGCCCTCGCGAGTTCAGGAGGGTAGGAAAAACAGGATAGGGGCTGAAGGATACTCCGATACAGGCCCTGTAAGGAGTCAGAGGTTATTGGCTTACTTTAGAAGCCAGAGAAATGCATAAGCGGAAATTGAGTACTCTTCTAGTCTCTGCCTGTAATGGCCGGGAAGGAACAATAAAACCAGATTTCGTGTCTACAAATGTATTAAATAGACTGTATACTACAATTAAGTGAACAAGCTTTCAGTTATAACCAATAATGATTCGTTTAGGCGCGAAGGGAGACGAGAAGAGACCTTAGCAAGAAATTAAAGGGTGGACAATCTATGTTTTTATATATTACTTGGGTTAGTATATAGATTTAGTTACCTTCGCGTATTTAGGCACTAGCCAATGAATACGCCCTTCAGTCCTACTGGAATTCAGTTTCAGTTTATTGAGATACCGCGCGCTATCACGAATTTTCGAAACACCCAAAACCCGGTACTTATACGGTACTATTATCCCGTCGAAATTCAATAGCGCACTCGCTGGTGCCGCGTAATTATTGTCCCGATCACCCGCGCTTCTGGCATTCAGCACTCACGGGTGCCGAGCTGCTACTGAGTGGTTGACCAACTTTTTAGTTTTTATGTCCCGCGAACATTCCTAGTTTTTTTGCTGATTCTGCTGCCTGTTCCACGTGTTAGAGTGGATCATGCGATGGTGTGTCGCTTCGTTGTATTATTTTCCACGAAGGTCTTCAGATTTCGTAATTCTTAAACATTCGGGCTTGTGTCAAACTAGGTCAAATTGTTATTATTTGTATAATTTAAAATGTATATGTTAACTGTATCGAATTTATTCTTTATTTAATTTGGAATATATAATAATTATTTAAATAATTTTTACTCTTCTCTAGGCTACTACCCCTTATTTTTTTTCTTTATTTTCTTGCTATGTTTACATTACAATTCTAAAGATTCTTCATAAGCAGGGCTGTAGCCTAAAGAAAAAACTTGGGCATTGTGGTGTATTATTATATTCCCTTTTAAAATACATATTTAAAGTTACAGCAAATATTTGCATATTTACCTAAAAAATTCATTTATATTTCTAACACTACACTGTCTAACACTCATATTTGGAACCATGTTTTGGACACTGTGAATAATAAAGGAATGGAAATTTAAGATCAATTGAATAGTTGTATTCCTTATATCCACATGTCTTTTTATTTTTGTGACATACTTTGTTTATCCATAATAATTTTTAGGAATTTTTTGAAAATCCAGCATTTAGATCTGACGGATTAAAGATTTATCCTACCCTAGTAATCAGAGGAACTGGATTATATGAACTTTGGAAAACAGGAAGGTATAACAGTTACCCTCCTTCAGTACTGGTTGATCTAATTGCTAAAATTTTGGCATTGGTACCACCATGGACTAGAATATATAGAGTACAGAGAGATATTCCCATGCCATTAGTAAGGTAAAAGACATTTTTAATATATTATATTTTGACAAGGTTGTTCATTTATCAATATAGTTAATTGATTTTATTACTCACAATTCTTTACACCATGAGAGAAAAATATTAACTTAGTTATATAAGTTATATAATTTCATTTCAAGATAAGCAGCCCTGGTCGCTGATTCTGTCTGCATCATATCTCAACAAACCCAATCAGTGTACTGCAGACGAATCTTCAGCACTGTAAAGCAACTTCTGCAGAAGTTACTTTCATATTGCATGCCTTTATCTAACCAGTTGATCTATCTTGGGACAATGATGATGATTTTATTGCTGGACATAGCCCTCAATTAAACAACTCCATTGGTAGTATCTCTTTTTTGCCTGTTCAGATTTCCAATTTATTATTCTTCACAACTACTGTCATCTTTAAATATTGTAAAAAGCAAGATAAGCAACCCGGCCGCCCATTATGTCTGCATCATGTCTCAATAAACCCAATCAGTGTACTGCAGACGAATCTTCAGCACTGTAAAGCAACTTCGGCAGAAGTTACTGTTGCTATAAGTAGGTTAGATGTTGGCTTGATACAAGAGCCCTGGCTATACCAGGGGTAAATAAAGGGTGTATCAGGTAATAGCAGCCATTATGAAAGGTGTGCAATAAGCCATTTGGCTGCAGCACAACCTAGGTAGGGCAGACAGCTGGATATAAGAGTCATGATGAGATGAAATAAGATTATTTTGACTATTGCCGAGAAAAGTGAAATAAAAAGATTGAGCATATGCCGTTTAATCAGAAAAACAATGTATTTATTTTTTATTTATAGCTCTGGTGTAGAACATGGTAATCTAAGAGAGTTAGCTTTGAATAGAATGAAAGATCTTGGTTTGAAATGTAGAGATGTACGAACTAGAGAAGTCGGTATTACAGAAATCCACGAAAAAGTTCGACCAAATGATATAGAGTCAGTTAGAAGAGATTACATGGCAAACGGTGGATGGGAAACTTTCTTGAGCTATGAAGATCCTGCTCAAGATATTCTTGTCGGATTGCTCAGGTAATAATTTTATTAGAAGGTTCTGAAATAAGATTATTTAAATAGGCTATTATTTAAATGTTTTTAGGTTGCGGAAATGCTCTCCTGAAATGACGTATCGTCCAGAATTGCTTGGTGGCTGTTCAATAATACGAGAACTCCATGTTTATGGTAGTGTAGTTCCAGTTAGTGGAAGAGACGATAAGAAATTTCAGCATCAAGGTTTTGGTACCCTTTTAATGAATTGGGCTGAGGAAATCGCTATTAAAGAACACAATTCTATAAAGATAGCTGTCATTTCTGGCGTGGGTACAAGGAATTATTATAGAAAATTAGGATATGAATTACAAGGGCCGTATATGGTTAAGAGTTTGAAAGAAGGAGAGTATGTTAGTGCCTTGGATTACGTCGACGGAGCCGTTTTAAAGTTTGATGATAACAAAGGTTTAATCAAGAATGTTGTGTATGATGATGATGACGAAGACGAGTGGATAAAACAGATAGACGAAGAAAATAGGAAGAATAAGAAAAGTATTGTTTAAATATGTTAACATTATTATTAATTTTTAATAAAGTACTTTTAATTTCATAAATTGGAAATATTATTTGTGTATATTCATTTTAAATTTTAAAGAGTAACATGGTAAGACATGACATGACATAACAAGATATAACAGTTGTTACCAGGCAACTTGGTATCATACAAATCAGTCCAAAGAAGTAGGGAGTCATCGTCCACAACGCTCTATTTCTCTTTCAGTCATAGCCCCATCCTTTGTGCTGGGATCAAAGTCTTAAAACTATTCTTTGCCTAGAGTTCAAAACATTCTAAAAACTATCTGCTTATCGGGAAATGTAGTCATCAGGTACCCATAGAAAAAGACTTGTGAATATTTCCACTAAACTCTGTGATGAAATGAAATTAAATCTCCGATGAATACCCAGAGATCTTGAAGGAAACTCCATTTTTTTACCTCATTCAGGTAAATAACGTAAAGCTTAGCACATGGCAGAAGGGGGTCGATTAATATAACAGTTGTAACAACAACATAAAAAAAGACTGAAATGAACCTACCTAATCAACAAGCGTCCTCTAGAGCGGGAGTCAAAGCGCAAAGCACCAATGTAATTTTAGGAAAATCAACAAACTGAAAGAGCTTCTATACGTGCAGTATAGCGTATTGCTATACTCCAATATTTGGGTCCAATACTGACAACAATAGCAGCAAATGACTGCAATATTTTGATCATCATTTAAAAATCCGTTAATCGGATATATTGGTATATATATATATATATATATATATATATATATATATATATATATATATATATATATATATATCGGTTTTAGAACGTCTTTCGACGTTGTCCGATGCCTAACTTCCACGTCCTTCTATCATCCCATTGGCCGTCTCTAAGATCTCTTGTACTCATTGCTTTAGTTACCCCTTCTTTCCATGTCTTTTTGGGTCTTCCTCGTTTTTTGCGGTTTGGTGGTACCCACTGCATAATCTTCTTGGGTAGTCTTGTGTCTTCCATTCTTTGAACATGACCATACCAAATCAACTATTTCCTCTCAATGTCTGTTGTTAAGTAACCATCTATTCCAATTCTTCGTCTTACTTCCTCATTTCGAACTCTTTCCCTGTGGGATATACCTAACGATCTTCTAAACACATCCATTTCTACATCTTCTAATTTTTTTCTGTTGTTCTCGGTTATTCTCCAAGTTTCTGCTCCATAAAGTAGAGTGCTTTTAATTAGTAACTCATAGATGTTATATTTTCGCTTTATTCCTATTTCAGAGCTCCAAAGTATTCCATTTAGGCAGCCAATTGTTCTTCTAGCTTGTGTAACCCTTTTCTTTATTTCCTCATCGTCTTTTCCCGTTCTATCGAAGATTACTCCCAGGTACGTATATTCACTACAGGATGTGATTTCTTCATTATTCTCTAGTTCGATATTGAATAACTCAGCTCCTATGGGTAGGTATTTAGTTTTTTCTACATTTATTTCCAATCCCCACTGTTCATATTCCTCCTTTAGTTTTCTTGCCATATACTCTAAATCGTCTTTATCATTGGCTATGATGACTTGGTCATCAGCAAATTGTAAGGTATATAAACAAACATCTCCGAGGTCTATACCCATACCGTGATATTTACGTTTCCACTGGTTTAGTGCTTTTGCAATATATATCTTGAACAAGCAGGTTGGTGAAATACAGCAGCCCTGGCGCAGACCCTTGTTAACGATGAACTTTTTAGATAGTGTGTTGCCAATTTTTACTTGATCGTGATGTAGAATTTTCATATAGATATATTGGTCCTAGAGTTAAACCGCCATACTTTTCTTACATAACATTGGCCGCTTGTTCTTCTCCTATGCTCAGAATTTTTCTACATCTAACGGTTCATGAGAAAAATTTTCAGTTAGAGGTCTATATGTCCTGAAAATTTCTTGAAAATAAAAACTTAATATTTTGTTCCAAATTTAATTTATTTAGATTAAGTCTGAAGTACTTATTCAAAAAATATATACCTACTCTTATGAGAAAAGGCACCGTTTGGCCGGAAAATGGAAAAAACTGAAATATTTTCAATTTTATTTTTAGATTTTTTTGCCAAACTGTGGGTACGGAATAGATAAAAAACACTTGTTTGATATAAGCTAGACCAAGTGCATCTATCAACATTAAAAAAGATTTCTTAAAATTTGAATTTGCCCAAAAATGTTCAAAGGGGGCACCCATGGATTTTTTAAAAAATTAAATAAACGGGCATATTGGCGTCAATTTCGGTACGAGAGTACCGAAGTATTTCGGTACCTTTGCAGTTTTCTTACATAAATTGGCTGCTTGATCTTCTTGTATGCTCAGAATTTTTCTACATATAACGGTTTCCGAAAATTTCGTGAAAAACTTAATATTTCGTTCCAAATTTAATTTAGTTCGATTAAGCCTGACATAATTATTCAAACAATATAAACATACCCTTATGAGAAAATGCACTGTTTGGTCGGAAAATGGAAAAAAACTATAATTTTGTGTATTATTTGATCATCGTTTAAAAATCCATTATTCGGATATATTGGCGTCAATTTAGGTCCTAGAGTCAAACCGTGGTACTTTTCTTACATAAAGTTCTTCGTTATTCGTTCTTCATTAGCTGCTTAATAAATACTTTTACCTACGCCATTGGTAATTAACTTAATAAAAAATATTAATAATTTGATGGTTGTCAATGACAAGTTGTCAATATCTTGAATACATGTAAGATTAGGTATTGTGTTCTGTCATAAAAGGGGATGTTGTTAAAATTCGGGTGATAAAAATGAGCCACATCGAATTCAAAGCATTACAACTTCGAGAAGAAGCTCAGAGAAGGGTAAAATCAGCAGGATTCTTACAAAATTTGTTTTCGCGGTCTGCAAATAAAACGGAAGAGTCAATAGAATATTACAAAAGAGCCGGGAATCTGTTTAAAATGGTTAAAAAATGGAAACAAGCTGGTTCGGCGTTTATGGATGCTGCCAATCTCTGTTACAAAGCTAAAAATTTTACTGAAGCGGCCCTGGAATACATCGAAGCTGCAAATTGTTATAAAAATTGTGACACTGAAATGGCTATAAAGGCGTACAAAGAAGCTGTGAAATTATATAGAAATAACGGTAAATGGAGAGTACACTTCTGTTGATTTTTTAACTTTTTTCACATAATCAATTTTTAATATTACCTTAACGTGTTACCTTAAGCACACGCTTAACGTGTGTTATTGATGTGAATTAGTACTCTTTTTAATTTTTTTTATTACAGTTTGTAAAAGTCTTTAATTAAGCGCTTTCTATATTGTTTATTACTATGTGAGTATTGAGATTATAATTGAGTGGCTCAGAGGCAAAGGTGCCTAACGTGCCTATAAGTGCTTATAATTTCTGTAAAAATCGTGTGCAGAATCAGCCTAAACTTAACTTTTATTGGTATGGTGTCCTCATCTATTAAACTGGTTCTCGCACTAAAAAAAATCATAGGAAGCTTGCGGCAAAATTGCCTAACCAACAAAAACATGGCGGATGTAAACATGAGCAGTGAAGCATCGGAGCCTTTCGGATCCGATTTCAGCGATATAGATAGCAATTATAATCCCAGTTCTTCAAATATCGAGTCTTCAGGTAAGACAGTAAAAATATTAATATTTAAATATAAAACAAGCAAGATAATCCTTAAATACCCATGTATAAACAAACGTGGCTTATGCTGTTTTGCCGCAAACTTATTTGTAATATATTTTTTATCGTTCTAGACGAGAATAATGATGATTCGAGTGAAAAAAACTCAATAAATGGGTTGTCGAACACTAAGAAACAAGACAATGATGAATCAGAAGGCAAATCTCACCAACTTTCCAAAAAGATAGTAAGAAATCTTGAGAATCATGCATGGTATAAAAGGAAGATAGCCATGGAGAAAGGAGAAGAATATGTCACGGAAGAAGAAAAACGTAAAAATGCTAAAAAACTTGTAGTTGGACCATGTTCGTGCAAAATAAAGTGCCATATGAAAATTTTAAACGAACGAAATTTACGTAGGTCCAAAACTCGTGTATATTCTTTACCGGATGAAAATGGTTGTGACCAAGTGGTAGGTAAGAACTTTTTTAAAGCACAGTTTCCATTACAGATGGAAAAATTTCATTAACTTGGCACTAAAACAAGAACATGGGACATCTCTTCAAGATGCAAAGTGCAAACATCTACCCCATAATAAAACGAATATTGAAGATTAGCAGTATTTATGTGGCTTTATTGAACTGTTCCCAGCATACGAATCTCATTACTCCCGACGAGATAACATAAAAAGGAAATATCTTTCACCAACTTTGAACATGTCGATCATGTATCGAGAGTATGAACAAAAATTGCACAGAAGAATTAAGAAAACCCCTCTTGCTGTTTATGTTTCGCAAAATTTCTAACACCAAGTTTAATTTGCATTTTATGCACCACATAATGATACTTGTCAAAAGTGTGACAGTCTTAATACTGAAATAAAATCATATGATACTTCAGCGATACAGGTACAACTTAAACAGGATGCAAAAGTTGAATTGTAATTACACCAAAGAAAAGCAGAAGCAGTTGAAGCAAAAAAAAAAAACAAAATATAATTAAAGCAAAAGAATCACAGCAAAAAAATATCAGTTTCAGTCTATGATCTTCAGAGAACGCTTCCTACTCCTGAGATAAGTGCAGGTGTAGTTTATTATAAGAGACAACTGTGGAAATATAATTTGGGTATCCATGATGAAGTCACAGAAACAGGACACATGTATGTCTGGCCTGAAAATGTCGAATCTCTAGGAGCTCAAGAGATAGCTTCATGCTTAATAAACCATCTTGAGGCGTACTTACCTGACCCAACCGATTATCTCATTTTGTATAGCGATGCTTGTGGGGGCCAGAATTGGAATATAAAGGTAGCTTTAATGTTAAGCAATTACCTTCAAATTGTAAAATCGCCACTCAAAGTTATAGAACAGAAGTTTTTTTTATATCTGGACATAGTTTTCATACATGCGATGAAGATTTTTTGTTGATTGAAAAGGAGAGAAAACACCATGATCGAGTTTTTCGGACAATCGGCCAAAAAAAAGAAATTTAAAATTCCAGGTCAAAAGAATGAACTCACTAGAGTTTTTAGTAGCAAGTCTCTTGATAATAAGATAACAAATAGAAAAGTTACTACAACTGGCGAGAAAGTTGAATGGCTTAAAATTCAACAGATACGGTATCTTAAAAACTAACCAAAAAAAATTATGTAAAATATACAGCACAGGACATGGGTTTGTTCCATGGTACAATAAAATTCACACACATGAGAGTTTATTGTACCATGGGTTTGTTCCATGAGGTTGATTTAAACAAGAAAACCAAAGGCCGCCCATCATCATCTACTGTAATATAATATAATAATAATATATTTTTTTGAATATATTCTATACTTTTTGAACACAGAATTAGGTTAATAAAACTTAGGTGAAATTTTTCCTTAAATGTTGTTTTAAGACATTGGCTTTTTCTTAACAAAAATAAAGTGTTACATTTTTTTATCATAAAAATTTTTTATTATTTAAATTTTTATTTTTGTATTGGTATTTTTTTATTTAAACTTAATTTTGACATGATTTATCACACAAATTCCACTTTGCGGCTTAGTCACCTTTGCCTCTGAGCCACTCAATTAGGCATTGTTTAAAATCTATAGTTTCTAAACAATCCCTTTGATATCTGATACATATTTTTGAAATATGACCTCGCTGCAGAGATTAAACAAAAGTAATGCAAGTAGCAGTATTCGTAAATTGATTTAAATATTTGTATTTCTTCTGTATTCATTCATCTATTTTATTTAACAGGAAAATACAGTGCCGTGGCTAAAAATTATGAAGCAATGTCAGAACTATTGCAAGAGGACTATAATAATCAAGAAGCCGAAAAGTATCTTGAACAGGCGGCCTACTTTTATCAATTGGATAAAAGATATTGGGCGTCAAATAAATGTTTGGAACAAATCGCAGAAGGAGCTGCTTTGGCATCAGATTATGTTAAGGTATCCAATTTTACTTTTATACTTCTTTTTGGGATGCCATATCCGTCCAAGACGTTGACATTGACCGTATAATACGCATTTTAATCGTTATACTGCGAAATAATGTGGTTAATGTTCCAAACCAGGTTCACAAGTTTTTCTGGGATCTTTCTTGCAGTCAATATTTCCTTGAATAATAAATTGGACTAACTTCGTTTCTCATAATAAGTCAAATATATGTTTTCGACTTTTAGGTATGACTGTTAATTATAGGGGCGTTTGAAAACTAGTCTCATAAAATAAAGTAGTCTCTAAAGAATCAAAACTAAGGAGGCTCTTAGACAGATCAACTAAATGAAACAACTAGTCAAGGTATTAAAAAAAAACGGCTCGTGGCACTTGGAGAGTACCGACAGAAGTGAATACTTCTTATAGCGCGTTACGAGCGTTTTTTATAGCGACCTTAAATGTGGGTATAATTTTTTGTCCGCCATGTATTAACATTCTAGGAAAAAAACATGAAATAACTTTCAATTCTACACTAAAAATGTATTCTTCTTTCAAATCAAAAAAGTACACCGTTGTCGAAAAAAGTTTACAAAAACATATGTAAATTCAAACCTTATTCAAAAGGTCTTAAATACCCGTGAATATTAAATGCATTAGTAGTAGATAATTTTTGCAAACAAAATGCATATGATTGAAACAATTATTTTTATTAAACTTTTTACACAGTAACAAATTAAAAAAAAAATCAGAAATTAAATTAAATAATGATGTTTATATAAAACAATTGATAAAGTGAATAATTCAAAACGAAACAAAAAAAATTACAATAAGTGTTCAAAATGTTCACCATTAGATAAACTACACAATCTAAATGTAAGAAAAGGCCACATTAATGAATCAATGTTATAGTAGGTGGCGCCACCTAGTGTAAATGGTAAAACTAATAACATTTTCATATTAAGAATACCAAATAATGGAATGATACCAAATTTCACTTAAATCGGTTGAATAGTTTTCAATATATTCCTAAAAATAATATAAAAAAATATAAATGAATCACCATGTAGACCGCAAACTAGAAACATTTTGCCTAAGCACTTTGAGCTCAAACGCTTTATTTTGATGTCAGCTATCACCCATTAGCTAATGTCCAATTAATTATGGGACACCCTGTATATGGCACGATCCAACGATCGATAACGGTATTAGAACGGTCTAACGATAACGGAATTAGAAGAAGTACCACAGACATTGTAATAAACATAATGCAAAAAATCAAATAAATAAAGAAAAACTATTAATGTTTCTGGTTTTCCTACCGGAGAATAATTTGCTGCTCTTGTTATTTTATCTATAGGACCAGATTGTTTAAGGGGCTTTTATATATCTATTTGTTATTATTATGTAATTATCAGTAATATCAAATTATTTTTAGGCAATCAAAATCTTTGAAGGAATCGCTTGTTTCGAATTATCTAGCTCGACAAGGAAACACGTAGCGAATGAATACTTTTTCAGATGTGCCATATGTGTTCTTTGCGCTGGTGCTAGTGTTACAAAAAGATTACTTACTTACATTTACATATTTCCACCTTTTAAAATGTCCAGAGAATATGAACTAGTTGTGTGTTTAGCAGAATGCATCAACGATAATGACTTAGAAGGGTTTGAGTATGCTGTAAGAATATTTGATTCCCAAACCGAACTGAGCCAGTGGCACGTGACACTGCTGTTGAGGGCTAGAAATCAGATCACTGAAAAGGAACATCTTATACTGTGATTTAATCTCAACCATACAAATCATGAACGTGAAAGTTCAATAAACTTATTACTTATATTCCTTGAATTTTGTTTTAGTATACAGTATACAGTTTTCCGCTATAATTAAGTTTGCCTGTGTGTGATTATGTTAAAAGTACGTAATATTTCGCAAAAGTTTAATTAACTAATTCAAAAACTAGTTCATCTCTGTCTCGCTACGATAACGCAATGAAGAGAACTGCATGTTTTTAGCACTGCCTGATATTATTGTTTCGTTCGTAGATCGACGTCATTAAACGATTACGTCTTATTTTTGTAAAAAACAAAATTAGATCAGGAAATTAATTATATTCCTGAAATGGAAGAGTGTGGTTTGTTGTCCGATATTACATCATTCAGCAATGTGGCTTAAATATCATGCAACAAGTTTAATAAAAAGCGCCACCAATAATAACGCTGAAAGCTTTAATTCTGATATTGCAAAATTTGTGGAGTAAATCACACTAAGAGAGGTGGTTATCAGTTAAAGTGTTTGGCGGCAGCAGTATCATATAATTCACGGGGAAATTATTTAAATAATATATTACAAAATATAGTAAAAATGCAACTGGTTATTACCAAAATTATTTGCTCAAAAAAATGTAAAAAATGGGTACAAGGAATAAAAAGGCAAAAAAATATAAAAAACAAACAAGTAATAATAAACCTGATAAAGACTATGCCCTAAATGCCGGAGAGTTAGTTCAGTTGTCGGATGAAGACTTAGAAGCAAGAAATAGGAATTTTTAAAAAATCTACAAAAAAATATCTCAAATATATCAATCATATAATATGTTCATATCAAAGAACAGATTTTTAATAATACAACGGCTCAAAGTAAAAGTGCTGCTTGGTATATAGAACGTCAGCAATGGTCTAATAATTTAAGGTAAAATATCTAAATTACAAAAAAAGAACTAAATCTGTGAAAGCAATATTGAATCCAACGTTTTGTGGAAATAGATTTACAGAACATGGAACCCAAAGCAAAAAAAATGTTAGAAACAGTTTTAAATATTAGTATTGAACTATCAGGACTTATCATACATGAATATCCCTTCCTTGCAGAGAGTCCTGATGGTTTAATAGGTGACTCAGGCATAGTTGAAATTAAATCTCCATATAAAGCAAGAGAACTTACACCTAAAGAAGCTATTGAACAAAAAAAAAATATTTTGGCAACTGAATGTCAATTGCATTAAAAAAAACTGATTCCTATTACTATCAAAATTGTATTCGACAAGATTGACAAAGATATCGAACTGGGGGAAAATGCTACCAAAATTGCAAGATTTTTATTATAATTTTTACTTGCACTTTCTAAAGAAACATTACACATAATTCTATATTTATATAGTTTCATTTTATCGATTTTAATGATCCTGGCAGTAATCAAATTTTTATAATATATAATTATCTTTTTTTATAATTTTCCATTTTCGGTAAAATTTAATCTACATTAAAATTTAGACCAATTTTTACGTAAAAAAAAGCGACAAAAAAAATTATGTATGTATCTTTGTTACGTTGTAAATTTATTAATAGATAATATTACTCTGGTTTATTATTCTAACTGTCCCCTAACACCACTAAATAGAAGTTTATGGTTTTAATATGAGCATGCTGGTTACCGATCCAACCAGAAATAACAGCATATTAGATTATATTTGTACTAATTTACATCCAGATCTAGTTGTGTGCAGAGTGATTCCCTATTTTTCATCAGATCATGATCCCATTTTATGTGCATTTCCCCTTAAGAATCCACCTTATATGGCCAGATGGGGTAGGATTTTCAGCAAAAGTAATTTTGACAGGTTTATCAAATTATGTAATCAGGAAGATTGGAATAATATTTTTTGCTCTCCTGATTTGCTTCATCAATTTCATCACACTCTCATGAAGATTTTCAATTTAGCATTTCAAAAAAAGAGTTCTTAAATCAAAAAGTAAGAAAACTTGGGTTACTAATGGAATTAGAATTTCCTGCAAAAACTTAAGATCGTTAAATTACATTAAAAAGCATATAATATGCAATGATGAATTTTTGATATATTTCTATAAATATAAGTCCATATATATAGGAAAGTAAGTAAATTAGCCAAATGTATATCTTTTAAATCTAGAATGGAAAATGCCAATACTAAACAAAAGGAATTTTGGCGTATAGTTAATAATCTTAGAGCTAAAGTTCCCCAAACTACAGATATAGTCTTAGACCCTAGTGATCTGAATAAATATTACTGCTCGGTAGGTCCAGAACTCGCTGGAAAAATTAATTCTTCTTCTGATCCAATGCATTTTTTAAATGGAGTTAACATTACAAATTCCTTTTACTTTCTTCCCACTAACTCGGCTGAAATAAAAAATATTATACAAGGCATTAAAAATCCCATGGCTTCAGGCTGGGATGATATTCCATCTAGAAGTTTTATCCCTTCTTCCTGATAATGTTCTGAGAATTTTATCGGAGGCAATTAACACATCTTTTTCAACGGGTCACTTTAGCGATTGTTTAAAATGTGCTAAGGTTATTCCTATGTACAAAGGTGGTGACCACGATTTACCTGCTAATTATCGTCCTATTTCTTTGTTGCCGTCGCTTTCAAAGGTTGTAGAAAAATTGGTAAAAATCCGAATGATGACGTTCTTACAAAAACACAATTTTCTTTCTTCCTTCCAACTCGGCTTCCAGTCATTAAAAAGTACATATGATGCCATCTTTTAATTCACGGAAAAACTATACTTGGACTTAAATAACGATTATGTTGCTGCCGCAGTTTTCTGTGATCTATCTAAATCCTTTGACTGTGTCAATCACAAAATACTACTTAATAAACTGGAAAGACATGGTTTTAGAGGCACTGTTCTAAAGTGGTTCAGTTCATACTTGGAAGACATATGTCAGTCTGTATCAATCAATGAGCGCTACTCTAGTAATATCTTTATTAATTGTGGAGTACCTCAAGGCTCTGTCTTGGGTCCTATCTTTTTCTTGATATATTTTAACGATGTAACTAACCTCGGCATTAATGGCCGGTTTACTATATTTGCAGATGACACCACAATTTTATGGCAAAACAAGGACTCTACGGTACTGAACAAGACTATTAGTAGTGATGTGCAAAAAATTTTAGAGTGGTGCAAAGCTAATCATTTGACATTTAATTTTTCAAAACTAAATTAATTTCTTTTAAGAATGATCTAAACAACATTACTCTGGGCAATGAAGGCATTTGTTCTGATACCGTAAACAAATTTTTAGGTCTCTATATTGATAATAAACTAAAATTTGAGCAACACAGTGTATATTTAAGCAAAAAGATATCATCGGGTTGCTTTGCGGTCAAATCAGTTGCTCACCATTTAGATTTCAAGATTGTAAAAAGTGTTTATGTGGCCCTGATTGAATCTAATATGAGATACGGTATTGCCTTTTGGGGTAGCTGTTCTCTTCATTAGAAACTTTATGCTACAAAAGAGAGCACTCAGATATTTATGCAAGGTCAAGTTTGGTACATCATGCAGGCCTCTGTTCCGGAAACATGGTATCTTGACACTTCGTTGCATATATCCTTGAATTAGTGTGCTTAATTTTTAAAAAACATAAAGAGGATATTCGGACAGTTTCCCCTTATAATACTCGTCTAAATTATGTTATTCCACTTCCAATTTCCTCTTCTGCATTAACTAAAAAATCATTTATTTACACTGGTAAGAAAGTGTTTAATCACCTACCACTCGATATAAGATGCTCAAGCAATATTTTTGTATTCCGAAGAGCAATCAAGAAGTTTTTATTATCTAAATGTTACTATAGTATAGACGAATTTTTTGAGGACAGTTGCGCTAATTGATATATCAATTAAATTTCAAAATCAAATAAATTTTTTAAATAGAGATAGCCCACTAAAATTCACCATTAGGATTTTAGAGGATATCTATAGTGACCATTCAGTTTTAAATTAGTTTGGCAATAGGGTATAAAATAACTGAACGACCAGATTTCTCAAATTGTTGCAATGTTAGCTGACATCAAAAAATAAGTTTACAGTTTTGGAGGTGAAACCCACCTTAAGTTTTAATTATTTGTCATTTTTGTTAAAACATAAAATATACGAAGATTTTTTTTGTCTTCCTAGGATCTTTTTCTTTTTTATGGCCCAAAAATAAAAGATTTATTATGTCGATGGGTGCTTTTATCCTAGAAGTAGATGTCACTCTTTCTGGGGTTGGAATTTTTTAATAAATACCATTTGATAGCAGGACAAATTCCAAGCAAAAATGATCAATTTTTTGTACAATCAATAATTTTGACATAATGGCACCTAAATGAAGTCGTTTAGTCAGAAAATGCATTTTTTGGGTAGAATACAACAATAACAACTGGGTAAAATACAATTCAAGTTATGGCTCTTTGAAGTCGATTTTGATTATAGCTAAAATCAAAACTTTATATGGTATTTAGCAGAAAAATGAAAGGTTCTGTGTATCGCCAAAGAATATAGAAGCATATGCGTCTATATTCTTTGGTATCGTCTTTATTATTCACCTTCTGTAGATATCTTGCTCCAACTGATTATGCAGGGAAAGATTCAAGGAAAGGGAAGCATATGGAGGCGTAGAATGTCATGGCTGCGCAACCTGAGAGAGTGGTACGGATGTACATCAAATAGCAGACGTCTCAAAAGTCTGAATAGCTATGATGATTGCCGACCTCCGCCGCGGAGATGGCACTTGAAGTAGATATCTTCGATGATTTAGTCTATAGCGTTTCCTTGTTAATTTTTCCTATCAGTGACATATAAAAACGACAAGATAAGTAAAAAAAGTATATTCTCTATATACAAATCAAAACTATTAACCCTAACACCGTCTACTAGATTTTCTCACAATGAATAGATAATATATCTTTAATTCTTATTCTAGTAACACCTTTTCACTTCTCAATACATATAAAATCAGTAAAAAACGGCACATCAATTAAATAAAACTCTACGGCTACTTCACATCTTATTGTGGATTTGGCTGTGGAGGATAGTTATATGGATATCCACCTTGAGGAGGGGCTCCGGGCGGACCTTGCGCTGCCGGTGGTCTGTAAAAAAATATTAACAAGTAATTACTATGATTTATACGAGAAAATGGGATAAATTGAAGCATTATTCTAGGTATTTCCCTTATTCAATCAATCATTCAAACAATTGGGTTGAACTTATGTTTATAATGATTCCAAAGATTTCATAGATAACAAGACGTCAGACTATGGAATTCGCTTATGTCACATTATCTAAAAATTTCACGGATGTCCATGCTTTACAGATTTCTATTAGTATCGAGAATTCTGGTCTTTGTGCCTCCAAATTTTCGTTATTGATCAATATAATTGGATGTTTTGTGTGGGATCTATACATGAATGTGCTTTTAGAGAGTTTAGTCTGTAGATAGATTTAAGAACTAATTATACAACTACAAGGACGCAAGTTAGATTAAAGATTACAATATTTTGGACAGCTTATGCATAAACAAAAATAGTTGATATTTAAAGAGCATAAAAAATATTGAAAGTTTAAAACATAGTACATACTGAAGAATATTCTAACTAAATTTGCATCTACCCCCCCATTTTATTATTTTATACCAACCTGTAGTAATTGTTCTGTGGCTGTTGAGCATACTGCGGCTGAGGTGGATAACCTCCGGGTTGAGGGGGATAACCATAGTTACTTGGTGGGCCACCAGGGCCTGGCGGATATCCTTGGTTTGGAGGAGAAGTATAGCCCGGATTACTTTGCTGCGAATTGGGCGGGAATGGAGGTTGTTGATAAGGCTGTGAAGTTGGAGGAGTAGATGTCACAGCAGGGCTCTGATTGTTCGTTGGGGGCGACGAAAAAGGTGGCGCCTAAAATATACACAATATTCAAACAATTTGTATGAAATACTTGCTAAAAGCATATCTTACCTGAGTATTACTAGCAGAATAATTCTGAGGTGGAGGAGGATTGGGCTGGTTTGTTGAAGGAGGAGCATATCCCTGCGGATTTGGATAACCTTGTGGGGGGTAATTTTGTGGAGGATTACCAGCTGGGTAATGTCCACCATTTGGAGGAGCTCCGTACTGAGCAGGTTGGTTCTGTGCAGGCGTTGCTGGAGGTTGATATGGAGCGGGAGCTGGACTAGGCTGTGAAGCACCTCCTGAAGCGGGAGGAGGAGTACCATAACCTGGAAAAAAAAGTCAAAATTTTGTTCATTCTATATATTCAATTTTTTTAATGCCTAAATGGTCAATTGTCTAGTTACTGGTATTAATTTTTAGATTTCTACTAGTGAAATGTTTAGGAAAGAGTGAGAAAAATCTAACGAGGGGGAAATGCTTCCATGAAGACAGGATTAGGTGGAATTTGCAGCTAAGTTGTGTATTTTTGAAAAATTTACTGATTAATATGATCTCATCTTTTTATTGCATTATTTTATTTATAATTAGCTACATTTTTTTGTTTGAACCAGTTTTTTCGGTATCACATAAATTCTTGACTCTTGGTAAATCAATGTTTTCCTTTCCCCTCGCCCTAACAGGGGCCCTTATTCATATGATTTTTAGAGATTCAGTGGCATTTCCATCTCTGATGACTGGAATATTATTCAATCTGCACCAAAAATTCTAATACGAAAAATATCAGCATAATATAATAGTCTTTATTTTACAATTGTTATAACTAAGTATAATGATGTTCTCACCTGGTTGTTGATAATTTGTATGTGGAGCAGCAGTTGTTGGTGGTTGACCATAATTGCCTTGTGGAGCATTTGGGGGATATCCCGGTGGTTGATTTGGAGGAGCCCCATAGGGTGGTTGAGGAGGATAATTGGGACCTTGTGGTGGATACTGATTTTGGTATTGTCCTTGTGGATAGCCCCTCTGTTGGTAAGGGTGTGGAGCTGGAGGACCACCTGGACGTTGAGGTGGGCCTGGTTGTTGCCTATTAATTAAAAAAAAAATTAATAACAACTGACTAGGTTATTTAATGTAGGGAAAGTAATTACAAAAAAAGTGAATTGATTAATATTACATGAAAAAGTTTGACAGAACTCTTTGGTTTTCAAAATATCTCAGTATTAATTTATTTCTGTTCTGGTATATCTAAATTTAGAAAACAAACTTTCAAATTGTTGGTGATTTCAGTATGTACTTAAGTAGGTCAGAGAAATAAGTAAAAAGTACCCAGTTATAGACTATGACTTGGTCAGATATTTGACATAGTATAAGAGGATAGAACATGAACATTTAGTAGGGAAAAAACTTCCTAGAAGCTGTTTTACTTGTGAAACCACCATAAAAGTCCAGCATATGGTCATAGATTGTCCACTGTTAAAAATTAAGAGCCAGAAACAATTTATCTGATAAAATATAATTTTATTTATTTTTATTGATTTAAAATAAGGGATAACCCCATTAACAGTTTAAATTCCAATATACATCATCACAGTTAGGATTCAAAACTTGAAATTACTTATAATATAAAATCAATATTAAAAACATTAAGAACAAAATTCAAAAATCCCAATAATATACATATCACACAGCAAGAGATCTTTTTAACTGAGTTAAAGTTACATTGAAAAGATCAAAATCACGAATGTTTAATAGCCCCATGTACCGATCCAATGGGTTGTGAATACCATAGAGCTTGATGAGGAACATTAAAGTTAATGTGGCTTAATAGGTTTGGACAATCAATAAATTCATGTATGATCTTATACATAAATATAGCTCCTGACATATCACGACGGTACATGAGTGAGGGCAAAGATAATTGTTGTTTGATATGGGAATAATCATGATTTTCAATAGTAGTGTGGATATGGTAAGCACAATATCTCAAAAATTTATGCTGGACTCTTGCTATGGTATCAATATTGTTCTGAAAATAGGGTGGCCAAATAGCTGAACAGTATTCCAAAATAGTTCTAATTAAGCAACAATACACTAATCTTGTTGAATCAATAGAGAAATACTTGCAATTCCTGGTAATGAAACCAAGAAGTTTGGATGCCTTTATTAAAATAGAGTTTATGTCGTCACAGAAAGTAAGCTTCTCACTGAAAATAACACCCAATTCCCAAATAGAAGAAACATAATTCAGTAGCTGATTTTTAATAGAATAGCTTGTTCGAATTCTGTTGACTTAACGAGAAAAACTTATAAACCAACATTTTTTTCCATTTAAGTGAAGTTTGCTCTGATTGCCCCAATTTTGTAGTCTGTCTAAGTCATCCTGTAGCAAGGCTTGATCTTGCTATTTAGTTTTTAATTAATTCAATAAACCTGACATGTAAGCCTATATTAATTAATTTGCCCAACAGTATTTGGTGATCTACACAATCAAATGCTTTTAAAAAATCTGTGTATATTGCATCTACCATTTATGATCTTCCATATGAGATAATATATCAGCTTGAGAGCAAACCAAGTTTGTTACACTGGAATTTTTGCTATGAAAACCATGTTGTGATTGAGATATTAAGCCTTTACATAACCAAGAAAGTTGCTTTGCTATAAGACTGTCGAAGAGCTTAGGGATTCCAGATTGTATACAAATGCTACGACAATTCGTTATTAGCCAATGTACACTTAAACACAATACATATAACTCGACATACTGCACTCTTCTATATTCCTTTTCATAGGACTGATTATGCTCGTCATTTTCCCTTGTCGAGAATGCTCAGCTCTTGAAATGACCTCCTATTGGATCCTTTCTGCCCAAACATTAATGCTTTCAAAAGGCAACTTAAGAATCGAATTATTAATCTAGATATGTTATACTTTTTTTTTTTAAACTTTTGTGATTTAATATACTGTTTTAGTACAAATTTTAACTGTTTATTTGTTTCTTTGTTATTGTTTTGATGTTTATTGTACATGATCTTAGTTTTTACTATTTGTTGTATTTTATTGTAAATGGTTCTACAGTTGAAATAAATAAATAAATAAATAATTTTCAATATTGTCTTTCTGACCATTTTTAAATATAGGAACAACATAACTTTTTTTCCATGAAGAATTAAACATAGAGGTTTCCAGAGATCTATTAAACAATACAACAAATCGTATTACAAGGGTACAGACACACTTTGGTAAATGAAATGAAATTGGTAAATGAAATGAAATTGGTAAATGAAATTTATAGTTGATACTGTATTTCTTGATAGAAAAAAATATCTTACCTGTAATTAAGGGCAGCTGGTTGCTGTTGATGATTAAAATTATTCATATTATGTTGTTGATCATTAGGTGGTGGGTTGTGGTTAGGTTGCTGAGGAGGTGCAGGTCCTGTTGACTGAATCATCTAAAAAAAGTTATAACATTGTATGTTAGTCTGCAACAGTAATTAAATTACATTTTCTAATTGTTATTTGATATTTTGATTTCCACTCCAGAAATTGTATTCAAAAATGATTATTTTAAATTAGTGATCTTTTATTATAAACAATAGTAAACTACATTCATTTTACATATTCCCAGTTTTCAACAGACCTTCATGAAAGCCAAACAGGGTTGTACTGATGTGTATCATACGATTTTTAAAAATATTTACTTTTGAAACTATTAGTGTAAGAATTTCTTGAAATTTAATCATTAAATCACAATTGAACTAACTCTAAAAAATAATATGACCAGTAAATAACTTAAAAATAACTATAACATAAATATAACACACAATATATTAACTTAAAAACCAACATGACACAATTTGAATTTAGACAGACTGGCAAGTTTGGATTTGTAACATGAGAATCTGTCTGACTGAAGGCAATAAATTATATTTAATAGCCTCTTGAAGAATAAAAGGGGGGTTATCAACACATGCATGTGTTTACAGATGGGAATTTGCAAAACAAATGAACTTTAGTTGGGTTGGAAACACCAATGGCAATGGTATAGCAATCAAACATCTCATAGTTTAAAATGCTCTCACATGAAATTAGATTTTCTTTCAATCAACATTAGTTCATTTTCCAATGAACTACTTATGGCAAAAAACTGAGCTTATAAACCTTTAAATAACACATTTTTAATAAAATTTAAACGGATAAGAATATTTTGATGTTTTTTAAATTATTTTATTACCATAATGCATGCCACACATATATTGGAAAAATACCCCATACAGCCATTCATGTTTTCGTCTCATGTAGGTTTAAAAAGGGGTTAAAATGTTAAATTTAGTTGTTTTTAGGATTGTTTTTGTTATTAGTCTTTTACACTAGTTTCTTATGTTAGTCAAATATGACTGACCTGGCCCCTCAGGTTATTTTCAGATTTTTTTACGTAGGTGGCCACATCAGTCAATTATACCCGACATGCAATGACAATAGTAGGCATAGAACCAAAGCTTTGGCATGCCATAAAGTTTACAGATGGTGATCACAACCCTCAACCAGCAACAATGACCTGCCTTTATCAACAATCGCAAGCACTAAACCCCAATTTGGTTACTCTTCAGATTTATCAATTGATTCCACAAACAATCAAACATCAAGTATTCATATTCAAAATTCACTTACACACACACCAAATGACCAAACAGCATCATAGACTATAAAACAGAGTAACACAAAAAAGAAAAGTCATAAAATACTTAGGGCAACTAAATAACCCTTTTGAACTCCTATAAGGTGTCGCAGTAGTTAATACTTGGGATGTATTCAAGAAAATCACTAAAGCTAAAAGACTTGTTGCAAATAGAGGAAAAAAGAACAAGAAGAAAATCATCAGCACGAAATACTCATAATTTAGAACAGAAAATAAATGATAAAGGCAAGAGAATAAGAAGTTGTGCTGCTTGCTATGCTGGAATAAAAGTGTCAGAAGGACGACAAGTAGCCAGAAATTGTACAAAATTGGTTTACACTTATTGCATATAATGTCCTGGCCAATCCTTTACGTGTCTGAACTGTTTTAATGTGGCTCATACATAGTTCATATTAGTTTTTAAAATAATTCTTTCTGTGGTTTTTACGTACCTCCAGGTAGATTTGCATTTGAATGTTAAGTTTATCTTTAATTTTGTATTTTTTGCGTATAAGAAGAAATCAATAGGTGTTGCATATTAAAATTATTATACCAACAAGAAGATAGTGATCTTAGAAACAAAGAACAATATAATTTGTATTATTATTAAGAACATTAGCATTATCTTCTTTGGAGAAATTAGGTATACTGTTACGTTTTAAAACAGTAAAAAAAAATTGCAAATATCCAAGTTTGCCCAAATCAAGTACAGTTTTATATTCTCCACAGGCTACTATTTAAAATCTCATAAGGAAATATATGTATCATCAATCAGATATGACTGACAAGCCCTTTTACACAAAAGTGTGTGTCAAGCATATATGCCTGACGTGGCCTGAATGGAAACATCACTGTCAGGCAGATATTTATTATAATGAGCCCTTTCTTAGCATTTCTTTCCTCTTTCTCTTTTTGCTAATCTAGATCTCACTTTTTTTACACAAAACCAACAATTATACAGTATACTGTGTATCTATTTCTGGTCTTTCAGTTTTAGATATCTAACTAAAGGTCTTTACAAAATATGTATTAAATTTAATTTTCAGCTGCTTTTTTGACTTTTAACCCTTCTCTTTGTCTTTTTACATCAATTTTAATTTTGTATATGAATTCCTTCCAGATATTTTTTCATTATTTGTTGCATCTTCCTTCTATTAATAACAAGATTGGGTGCAAATCTAATGGCAAATTAATTTTCAATGTTTTGATTTTAACCCTCATTTGTTGTATTTCTTCTATTAACATTTTATGCAGCGGTTTTCTCTTATTAATAATATAAATATATCTAACTGCTAATGCATCACTATTATAAATATATCCAGTTTATCACCCAGTATAAGCACAAAAGTACTATTTTTCTTTCCACATTGCTCCAAATTAAATTTATAATGACAATTAATACACGAAGTACTGAGTTATAATGTTTTTTTTACTTACTGGTAATAAAGCTGTAACATTTTGTGCAGAATCAGCTATCGTTGCCAAGTATACCAGATTTCTATGTAATTGTGACTGCATTTGTATAGCTTCCTGCGATTTGCCCTTTGATTGATGTTCTTGTATAACTTGAATCAAATGTCCGTTTTCGTCCAAAAGCTTTTGAAGGCTTTTACTGTCGGGAGGAGGCTTGGGGCCACGCTGTGGCGCAAATGTAGCAGACATTTTGTTCTCTGCGAAGATCTCCCTTTTTTTGTATTAACCAGATAGCTAAAAGATTATTAAATAAACTATAGGTATTCGATAAGTTATACTAACTATTTCATACCGTCTACAGCAACATATTTTGAATATTTTGAAGATGAACTTACTAAAATGTATCAACCTTTTATATTGTTTTTTTAAATGAAAGCATCTAATTTTTTGTCACTTTGCTAACTGTCATTTGTCATACCACCTCTTCTTTTAGATTTAGTTTGAAGGAATGTGTAAATATTTATCCTGTTAATTTAAAAAAACATTTAAAAAATGTACAAGTACAAATGAAATAAGAAGAAATTCATCGAAAGGGTTATGTTTATTTTAATTTAACCTACACCTACTCTTTAGGTCCTAATCTATAAAATGAAGGTAAAACGTTATAAAAAAGTAAACAAACATATAAGGTTCTTTATTAATAATTATGGGTTTCGCCAACCCTTCCAAGTGTTGGTTGATGGCACATTCTGTTACTGTGCATTAAATGTAAGTAAAATACAAATTAGCACATCTAGAACTATATAGCGATTCCTCCATAGTTGCTATGAATACATATAGTTTGTGTATATATGGACTTACATTCCATTCATTTTGTTGTGTTTCAGAACAAAGTAAATATTGCTGACAATATTCCAAGATATCTTCAAGGAGAAGTTAAGTTACTTACTACTCAATGTGCAATTATAGAAATGGAAAACTTGGGTGCCAAGTTGAATGGTGCACTAATTATTCTGAAGCAGTATGGTGTACACAAGTGTGGTCATGAAGGTAATCCAATTACAGGATCCAAATGCTTTTTAAAAATGCTAGGAAAATCTAATGAAAATCATTATATTATTGGAACACAAGATAGGGATTTGCAGGAGAAAGTCAGACACATTCCAGGTGTTCCATTATTGTATTTACATCTTAAAACTCCAGTGCTTGAAAAGCCTTCTGAAGTATCTACAAAAGAAGCTGAAAATAAGTTATCAACACTGACAGATTTTGAAAAAAGGGCATTAGAGGAAATTAAAAAGCAAAATGGAAGTGATGAAAGACCCAAGAAAAAAAAGAAAAAGGGGCCAAATCCACTCTCTTGTAAAAAGAAAACCATAAAGTCACATGTACAAACTCCAATTTTAAAGAAAGAGGGTCAATCTGAGAAAGAAAAGAAAAAACGGAAAAGAATTAAATTGGCCAAACATGTAAAAGAAGTGTTATTGGAAAGGAAAGACAATTAAAGTTATCTGTTCCTCTTTCATATGTTTTATTTTGTACATAGTGAATTCCTTTCATCTTTTTATTCATATCCACAAATCTGTGTTTAAGTGTTTATTAACCCATTCACTGCCAGTTAAATTTGTAACAGTATGTCAGGTACTCCAACATGTTTTAATTCGACCATTTGAAAATTTTAGTTATATTTGTGACTTTATTTATATATATATATATATATATATATATATATATATATATATATATATATATATATATATATATATATATATATCTGGACCTCAGAGCCAAACAGTATTAAGTCCACTTTTTTCCTATTTTTAGGTTATGATTGTTCCTGTAGTATTTTTTCCGCCCCATTCCAATGGCAATGCGTATTAAGTCCAATTTCTTTTCGTTTTCGAGATAGGTGTAGATTATATATGTTAAGTCCTCTATTAAATAGAACCAAACAGTATTAAAGGTTTTCGATACTGTTTGGCCCTAAATGATATCCAATATGTAGGTATTAAGTCCAGATGTGAGGTTAGTTAACTGGACTTAATACTGTGTTGTTTTAGTGTTGTCAGAATATTAAGACAATCAGTTGTCAGAATATTAAGTCACATTATTTTGTTCGTTCAGTTAACAGAAAAAAACGTGATAAAGGCGCTGTTTTAATATTTAATAAGTGTATATGGACAATATGATGGCATCGAGAGGCCAAAAAATATTACAAATTACACTAGCACAAGCCCAGTGCAACGAAATATCTGAAAAACCTGTTATAACCTCACATTTGCCCGAGGAGAACGGTAATTAAATTACATGAAATGTGTGTATCAAAACAAATTTTATTATTTTTTCAATTTTAGCTTTTGTTGCTGTTGCTGCTAACGCCGAAGAAGCTGAGATCGTTTTGGAAATATATCCAACCACTAATAGCGTGAAGGACATCCCTCATGAAAATTTGAAAGTTCTTGCAACTGGATGTGACAATGCTACAGGGGATATTATAGCTTTGAATAATGATGTGTACAATACCATATTTTTAAGTAAAAATAATGTGCCTTCTTCCAATAGCGAAGAAATTCTGAGAGAAAATATAGACGGGTGTGAACTACCAGAAAATTCACTAGAACATTTTGTTCAAAACAGTGAAAAGCATAAAAATAACGAACTCGAAACATCTTCAAAAATTATTGTTCAACATGATGACGATAGACCTAACTATAGAGCAGCTGAAGTAGGTGCAAGTGTGTTACATAAAGAAGTCTATACTGAAGCTGAAGATCCATCTTATATACCTAATGAAAGCAGTGATACAAATGAACTAGAAGAACAAGAGGAAGAAGTAGAAATACGAGACACTAAAGGAAAGAAAAGAAAAAGAAATACTACCAATTGGAAGAAAAACATTAGAAAGCAGAAGAAAGCTGCTGGTGAAGAATATCTGTCAGCCACCAATAAGCTTATTGGAAAAAATAAAATGAGACCATCTTGTCGTGATGAATGTAGAACGTAGTGCAAACAGAATATATCAGTTGATAGTCGTGCTCTAATTCACTCACAATTTTGGAATGGTACCATCGAACTTGACCAAAAAAGACAATTTATAGCTAGCTGTATCGAAGAAGTTCCAGTTGAGCGTGTACGTGCTAGAACGGGATCTCGTGCTGGAAAAAGAATAACGTCGTTGAAGTATTTTTTTAGTGTAAATGGTAAGAGGCTAAGTGTGTGTCGTACTTATTTTCTTAACACCTTAAATATTTCACAAACTACTGTACGTAACGCATTAACGAAAAGACAACTTGGGCGAATTGTAATACCTGATCAAAGGGGTAAACATGAACCCTCTAATAAAATATCCGCGAACATAAGAAACATTATCAGGGAGCACATACAGAAGTTCCCGTGCATAGAGTCACATTACTCCAGGAATAAATCCCAGAGGAAGTATTTAGGGAGCCATCTCAATATTTCTATAATGTATCGGTGCTTCTATGAGGATTGTGTAGAACGTCAAATTCCTAAAGAACATATTCCCAAGCAGTGTTTATATAATGAAATTTTAAATTCTGAATTTAATTTAGCCTTCAAAGAGCCAGAAAATGATACATGTGACACATGTGATGGGTATGTTATCAAACTCAAAAGATTCTGTATCCTTGGAAGAACGCCTTGAATTACAAACTAACTATGACTCTCATCTTTTTGATGCAGATCATCGGTACAAACTAAAGCGACAGGATAAAGAGACTTTTAAAACCGAAGCGAACACCAAAATACTTTCGGTGGATTTACAAAAATGTTTACCCACTCCTCTACTAACGAATGCTCAGAGCTTCTATTCTCTAAAGCTATGGACTTTCAATTATACTGTATATGATGCAATAGAGAAATTAGATATTGTTTCACCTGGGATGAATCTATAGTCGGACGTGGTGGAAATGAAATGGCTTCATGCCTTCTGAAATACATTAATTTAAATGTAAAAGAATCAGTAGAAAGGATTGTTATCTGGAGTGACAACTGTCCATCACAAAATAGAAATATTCAGATGATTATGTGCTATCTTTCGATTCTTAAGCTGAAACCGTCCATAAAATGCATTGAGCATAAGTACCTTTTAAGAGGACATACTCACATGGAGGTGGATACAATTCATGCACGAATAGAAAGACAGAAGAAGGCTTCCAGTCAATTTTCGTTAATAACTCCGTGAGATTGGCAACAGCTTTTCAGACTTTGTGACAATAAATTGGAGGTAGCGGAAATGGAAACCATGGACTTAAAGAACTTTACTCAGTTATCTGAAGAATCCAGATCTTATTTTCAAAATAACAAAAAAACGATAACTAATCAAAACTTTTTAATATCTAAAGTTGTTCATATGAAGTTTTTAGCAGAAACACCTGGAGTTTTACATTTTACAACAAATTTTAATCAAGAGAATTTTGAACAAGTTGATTTCAATAGAGCAGCCAAAAGACTACCACGCAAAGGAAAATGTAATGATAATTCTAAGGAAGTTGTTCTCCATGCCAATTTAATTTTGAATCCAATAAGAGACACACTTAAGCCCATTTCGACTAAAAAATATAATGACTTGCAGAACTTATTACAATGGGTGCCTAAAAGATTCCATGAATACTTTAAAAACCTTCCACATGGTAACCTCAAGGAGGACGACTAAAAATTACAATGATATTTGTTATGAATTTTCTGTTTTAAGTTAGTTATAATTATTCCTTTGTAACATTTAGGTCTGATTTCATTTATTTTAAAAAATAAATAGTTTTGGTGTCTTTTTGCGTTTTATTATTTAATTGGAATTGATATAATGCTGTTTGTACTTTGCATTGTTCTACTGTAAGTTTCTTAATTAATAATAGTATCTAGTCCATCGTATTTACAGATTAGTACGAGCCAAACAGTATTAAGTAACAAAATATGGTATTAAGTCACAAGATATTAAGTCCATTATTAGAACCA